AATCCCAAGATCTGTGCAACAGGAATTCCAAAGATACTTCTAACTAGGTAGGCAGAAATGCTCCGGGGGTGAGGCCAGCCTGTGGCGATTTTCCAACATCGGGAAAACAAGCAGGGAGCAACAACGCCCCGGCTCCGCGTGGCAAAACGCGCGGGACCCTTGTAGCAGCAGCTAAACGCATCTCCCCTGCCACCCGCGCGTGCAGGATCTGACGCGCACCCCTCCGGAGCTGCGCAGGTCGGGTTAGCTGGGCAGCAGAGGGGGATGGACCGGACCGGTGAAGCCCGGGACCCTGTCGACATCCTCCAGGAGAATGAAATTGCGGCGGCAAGATTGGCGTGGCCGGGAGGAGGGCACGCGGCGCAGAACCCTGCCGCACCAAGAAAAGCAAAGGTGCGGACTGCTAGCGACTTCCGCTTGGAGTCCGTGTGGAGCGAAAAGAGAGCGCTCCGCAGAGACCCAGGACTCAGCTGGAAGAGGAGCGAAGGTCCGAAACAGCCCGTAGGGCGTCGGCGCCCAGTCCAGCCCCGAGGCGCAGGGACCCGAGAAGACCACCTTCCTCCCTCAGCAGTCCAAAGCTTCGGGCCCTCCCGAGCAGCCGCAGCCTCCCGCCTCAAGGCTTGCTTGGCTACGAAAGGAGGCGGTGCCCGCTCCGCCCCGCGCCGCGCCCACTAGCTGGCGGAAAAATTCGTTCCCGAAACCAGAGCTGGGAACCTGTCCTCCTTACAAGCTTTCTGTGTTGGTACGTGTCTGTGCCGACCTTAAAGGACAGAATAATTCCGCCCCCAAACTCCAATTAACATTTGTTTTGTTCTCAAATACTCTGATAGACGAAAAGTTTAGGTGGCCAAATTATCCTGTGACTTCTGCCCACTTTCAGTTCTCTTTCGCCGTTTCTCCAGAAATCTCAGAGCGCCAGCCCCCAGGATAAATGTGAGCTGGGTGTCATCATCCTGGATGGTCCTCCTGGACACATCTCCAGGTCCCAGCCTAAACAACCTTTTGAACCACGTATCCAAATAATTTAGACGCAAACCCAAACTCTCCTAGCTTCTCTTTGGCCGGGTGCGCAGGGTTTGAATTAAACTCCGAATCCGGTCCGTAAAGACCTATACGAGTTGCCTCCTCCCACCGCCCCCTAAGCTCTAGACTAGATCCGATCCTACGAGGCACGCTCCACACTCAAAACCTTTTCTCCCTTTCTCCCGCAGGGTCTCTCGTTTAAACAGCGTCGGCGCCTTTATGCGCCTGACCCTATGCGGAGGAAAACCCGCCTGATCGGTCATTGTCTGGTCCGAGACCGCCCCCACCCCTGCCGCAATCAGTGTCACAAAACGCCCCTTTCAACAGATTCCAAACCCTCTTCACCCGGGCTCACCGAGCCTTCAACTTCATTAAGTGCGCGCTGCGGCGGCGCTGGAGGAGGCGAAGTTTAAATAAACCCGAGCAGAGAAGGAGGAGGGGTGGGCCTGGGGAGGGTTGCTAGTTGAAGGGGAGAAAGTGGAGTGTTTTTGAAAAGGGGAAAAAAGTCATCAGGGGAAAAGCGCTTTGTAACCACGAAGACGCGCCTGCTGTGGCGAGAACAAATTGGATATGGAGGGGAAGTGTCCGCCCCCACCTCAATTCCCGCTCCTGGGTGGTCCGGGGTGCCCCAGGAGAAAGAAAAATGGGGAGGAATCGGCGGTGAAAAGAATTAACCACTTTAATTGGGCTGCAAGAGAGAAGTGGGAAGGGGCTCACCGATGTGCCTCGATCACCCAAACAAAATACCCTTCAATAATATAAAATAAAATAACTGCCCTTAGCGGTGGCTGAAAGGAGAATGTCAAAGTTTGAGAATCCAGGCTGTTCTCAGCCATAGAAAGTAAATCTGCAAGATGGGGGAAATTCTGCCCGGAAAGACCCCATCCCCCTCCTTGTGGCCTCGGGCCTCCCGGCGCCGGATGAAAAGGAATGAAATTGAACGAAATTGAACGAAATGAAGTGAAATTGACCAGTGAAATTCGCCAATTTTCTTCCCCTTTAAACTGCCCGCTCTCGGCAGCACTCTCTGAACCCCAGGCCGATATCTTGGCATTTTTTTCTCACCTCGAGAGATGAAGGTGTGCCCTGGATAGTTTCTTATTATTGTCACCGATTGTTGGGGCCTACAGGGGCAGAGGCTCAGCTATCTCCACCCAGACAGCCAGGGAACCCACAGCAGCCGCTGGAGGTGGGATGGCCTATTTCTCCCCCCTGGAGGCTGGCCTCCTAAGTAAGCCACCTTACACTGAACACCCACCCTGTGCACCCACAAGGTGGGAGGGAACCACTTACAGAGGCCCTTTGGTCTGGGAGAGGCGGGGAGAAAAACTGGAGGACTCTACTAGACAAATCTGCAATTCCCTCATCCTTCGTGCCCCTCCCTACAGTTCAGGTCCTAGGTGGGCTTTTGCCAGTTCCTAATTAACAGGTCACACAACCTAAAGGAGCACCAAATTCCAAACACCCTCCTCCCCTGCCCTTCGGCACCCAAATCTCTCAAGAACTATTTTTCTGATGTTTTACAATGCCAGTTGGGCATCAGTGGCTTCTTTCTGATCCCAGTCCTCAGCCATAATTATATCTGGTCCATATCTGTGCTTTATGATCCCCGGGGAAATTCGGGTCTGAGTTACAGGTCTGAGGTCCCAAACTTCCTAGAAGCCCCTGAAAGGGTGCATCTCACTATCTCCCAGTCCTCTTAATTCTACCTTTTCCTGATACAGACCCTCTAACACACGTAAACACCAAACAATACACTCGGATAAATTCACACACACACACACACACACACACACACATACAGTTTCACAAAGTCACACTGAGGAATCCAGTAAGATCTGCTGCTTTTCCTGGAAGTAGCAGTTGTGGAAATATCTCATCTATCCACCATCAGAGCTATGAATTGTGACTGGCTTAATTTTCTCTCTTTGAGAGAGGAAAAACCAATTGATAAAACTTTTACTTGACGCTTCAACCTAATATCTGGAAGTGACATTTTCATGGTAAATGAGATCATGTAAGCCACAAAGTGTCTTACTGAGGGCAAACACACGCAGTCACGTTACGCCTTCCTCAAGTGAAAAGACATTAAATCAAACTCAGCAACCGAAGTCAACTAAGCAGTCAGCAAGAGACCTCGATCCTACAATCAACAGACATTCCCTCTGTTTACCATTGAATCTAACCTTATCTTGGACTATTTAATAAAATTGTGGGAAGGTGGCCCACTGCATTCAATCTCCCTCCACTCGCGGTCTCTCAACAAGATGGAGGACAGGGCACCTCACCTCTGGCAGAAGAGCTGCATTTACCATATGCATCTCAAAGCTTGTCTGTCTCTCCTCCACTGGGGAAGGGGTTGAGAGTTAGGGGTCCCAATCACTCTTCCTCGGCCCTCGTGTATTCATTCTTTCCACCCTGATCCTGATTCTGACCCTCTTACTATAGGGTACTCTGTCCCTTCTTCCTCCTTTTCTGCTATTGGTAATGCCTAGGAATCTTGTTAAAGAGACCTGTACAGCTTCTCTCATCCTGCCCCTCTCAAGTTCTCTACATGTCTTCCTTCTCTCCCTGTCACTTGTCTCCCAACACTTGCCCTCTACTTGTGTCTATTTTCTGTGAAGGCAGAACTGCCTGTTTTGCACCTCCATATTTCTCCTTTCCTATGACCTCAGTTGAATGTACAAAGAGCTACAAAGTAACCATCTTTGTTTAACCCAAAGCATCGCCTCTCAGCCAACAAGCTTGCAAATCTGGCCATTGGGAGTCCCAGGCACAGGCAGCTAGCTGGGAGGCTCAAAGGGCTTATGGAAGACTCCAGCCGGTCCAATGGCTTTGCACTCTGGCAAAAGGTTCTGGTTATGAGCATGGCTCAAGGGTTGGTGATGCTTACCCTAAAAGAGTACACTCTCTCCTGTAGCACGTACTGCACCTTTAACCCCCTCAGGCTAGAAAAGAGAAGGGTTTCACAGTCCCCAATTCAAGCCTTTCACTCTGACTGTTCCATGGGGGAGGAGAGGGAAGAGGGGATCAAAGAAGGCCCCACAGTGGCCAAACAGAAACCTCTCTCCTCTTAGGGACACAGAAAGAGACAGTGACAGAATCACAGAGACACACGTCCACGGACACACAAAAATAAACATAGATAATCTGAAATACAACTCACTTCCCACCAAAACAAAAGGGCACTAAGGCACGGATACGTGAGTGACCCAGACAAACAAACACAAATCACAAGCTCCATAAAAGCCTCCACACACAGTGGCATACGGAAAATGCATCAAGAAACACAGTCACTCAAATTGTACTTAATGGGCGTAGTGTCCATAAGCACTAGGCATTCTTCGTATCTGCCCAGGCCACGCTGAAGTCTGGACTTGAAGGAGATGAGACTCCCCAGACGCATGTAAAACAAAACCTCTCTGCGGAACCGCAGGCAGAAACTTTCCTGGACCAGAGCGAAAACGAAAGTGCTGGAGGGGTCACAGGGCCTCCCAGAGTCCAGGTCCATTAACAGCAAAGGCCAAGGCAATAGTGTCCCCTGTACCTGACAAGCCCAAACCCTCCTCTGCCTGCCTGGGCTGCTCAGGGCCCTTCCTCAGTCCACCTCTGCCCCGAAGCTGGGGATCTTCTGCACCAGCCCTGACTGGGAAAAAGAGGAGTGCAGGCAAGCAGACAGAGCTGGTGACTGCTGGAGTTCACATACATTTATTCAATTGACACCAAAAGGAAAGGGGGAGGGGAGTGGGGAGAGACAGATTTTTCTTTTCTTCCACACAAACCATCAGATGATTTCACAGTCTCCCCGTAATGGAGAAGTCTAAATCAATGCACACCCAGTGGACAGAGAACGCAGATAGCAGCCCGCTGTACAGATATTTACACATAATTACAGGACCCCCTGCCACAGGATGTGCCCTGCCCACCCCACCCCCACCTCTCCAGTCCCTGACCCAGACCCTCCTCTCCCACCCCAACCTCATTGCCTTTAGCTACAATAAATATCCCAGGGCCTGGGACAGAGCAGAACGCTGAGAGGGCTGCTGGCCCTGGTTGGCTGGACCCAGCCGGCCACGGGAAAGGGGAAAAGTTCCTTCAAAAGCACCCCAACACAAAAGAAGAAGGATGCTCCCGACTGGAGTGAGATCCAGGGTTTCCGCAGGGCTTGTGGAGACCCCTGGCTTCACCTCTCCGTTCAGCTTCGCCTGTGTAGACACAGCTTTAGTTTTCAGAGAACGAACTTCCTTGGAAAACAGCAAGAAAAAAAAACGTTGAAATTTTCTTTTAAGCACGAAGCGGATAATAGGTGTCTTTAAATTATAATATTGGACAAGCAGGGCCTCAAAGTCGGGGAAGGAGGGAGAGGCAGAGAGGAAGACCTCCTGGCGCAGTTGGTGTTTCTGGCGGGATCCTCGGGGCCTGGGCGGGCATCTCTCCGGGAAAGCGTTCTTCCGGGGCTACCAGAGGCACAGAGGCTGGGAAAAAGCGAAGACTCCCCCTCCCCCTTTTCTGCTCAAACTGGAATGGGATCATGGCTTGCGACCTTCCGTCGCGTAGACCCGGGCCTCTTCTTGAGAGATGGAGCCCGCTTCGTCCCAACTATCAGATTCTGAGCGTGGAGCCTGAAGTGCCAAGTCACGCGCGCCGGCCCAAGGTCTGGAGACTTCATAAATAGACTCCCTGAGTTCCGCTGGGACCGCAGAAGTTCCCGGGAGAGGCTGAGGAGTGCGGGCCTAAGTGGCCCTGAGCACGAGGCAGTTCAGAAGTGGCAACCACTCAGACCCGCGACTTTGCCGGCAAACGGGGACCCTGAGGACAGGAGCGCGTCCCCGGGGTGCGAGAGGCGGATGTGGCCGGCCACTGGAGCTAGGGCCGGGGCAGTCAGCATGGCCAAGACCTGGGCTTGACCCCCAGGGCCAGCCGCCGCCGCGAACGGCGATCCCGGCGAGCCCTCGCCTCCGCCCGGGGGTGCTGCCCCGCCGCCACCGTGGCCCATGATGTGGTCTATAGAGAAGGAAGGCCTCTGACCGGCCCCGGCACCCCCGGCGCCCGCACCACCGCCCGCGTCCGTCTTGAGGCCCTGGCGCAGGAGTGCGGTGGACAGACCAGCCGCGGTGCCGGCTGCGGGAGGGCTCAGTGACGCGGGGTAGAAAGCTTTGGCGCAGCCCAGCTCCGCGCCCAGGAAGGCGGGCAGGCCTGCGGGACCCGGACCCGGGCCCGACCCTGTGCCCGGGGCAGGCGCAGGGGCCGGTGCAGAGGCTGCGCCTGCGAACACCGAGGCTGTCGGAGGTCCGGGTGGAGGCGCAGCGGCACGACCTGGGGGGACCGACAGCTGGCAAGGCGCGGCTGCGGCTGCGGCGGCGAAAGCGAAGGCGTGCGAGTGTGGATGTGGATGCGGGGCCGGGCCTGGCGGGGGGGCACCATAGGCAGGGAGCGCCAACCCGTAGCCGTAGCCGTAGGCGCCGTAAGCGGCGAAGCCCGGCAGGAAGGCGCCGGGGTCCCCCGCCGCAGCAGCCCCGCCACGCAACAGCAGCTCCGGGTGAGGGTGCGTGTGTGGATGCGGCGGCGGGAGCGGCTGCCGCTTGAAGCGCTTGCGGCGCCGCAGGAAGCTGCCGTTGTCGAACATGTCGGCCGACTCCGGGTCCAGCGTCCAGTAGTTGCCCTTGCCCGGGTTGCCCGGCTCGCGGGGGATCTTGACGAAGCAGTCGTTGAGCGAGAGGTTGTGGCGGATGCTGTTCTGCCAGGCGGGGAACTTCTCCCGGTAGTAGGGGAAGCGGCCGCTGATGAACTCGCAGATCTCGCTCAGCGTCAGCCGCTTCTTGGGGCTCTGCAGGATGGCCATGGTGATGAGCGCGATGTACGAGTACGGCGGCTTCACCAGCGGGCTCCTCTGAGCCCCGGGCCCCCGCCGAGCCCGGCCCGGGGCTTCCCGCTGCGGCCGCCGCCCCCCGGGGCGCTAGAGCGCGGGGCTCGGCGTCCGAGCAGCCGCCGGACTCCTCGTCCTCAGCTGCGTCCGCTTCGGCTTCCTCCGAGGGAGGCTCGGGGCCGTGCGGGAGCGCGTCCCGGGGGGCGCGGGGCCCGGAGCGGGCAGGGAGTTCCCCGCCACCACTGCCGCCGCCGCCGCCTCCCACCACGTCTATGTCTGCGTCGGCCTCGGACAGTGCGGCCGGGGAGCTCTCGGAGGACATGATCTCGCAGCAGCAGCTGCCCAGGGTCATGGTGCCGCCGCCGCCACCGCCGTTCTCCGGCTCCGCTCCGGCCGCGGCTCGGGCTCCGCTGCGCTGCCTCTGGGGCGAGAGTGTTTTGCGCGCGGGCGGGGAGGGGGCGGGGGACTGAGGCGGGCAGGGAGGGGTGTCCCCCAGCTCCGAAGCGCCCCCTCGTGGCCCAACTCGGCCTCTGTCACCTCTCGGTGAGCGCCCGACTGGCGGCTCTTTCCGCTGCCTCGGGAGCCGGAGCCCAGGCCTGCACCCGGGGCGCGGGCGGAAGGAGCTGAGGCTTCCCCTCACCCTGACCGTTCTCGGCCCCCTGTCCCCACAGAGGTGGCGGGCGGGGGGCGGGGGAGGAGGGTCAGGGGATTTGTCCCTCCCGCCGAGCTGCTGCCTAAGGCGGAAGAGCGCGAGCCCGGGGCGGAGCTCCCTGAGCGGGTGGGGCGGGGCGGGAGGAGCCGGACCGAGTGCCTCCACTGAGGGGCCCGGCGGGAACAAACAGCTGCGGCGGCGGGAGCTCGGCTCCGGTGGCCGGAGGCGGGTCCTCCTTTTCCCCGCAGACCCCGTGAACTCTCCGTTCCCTGGAGCTGCTGCCTTCACTGCGCTCAGCCCCTGGATGTTAAGGTTCACGCGGGCGCCAGCCAGAGCCGGGAGAAGGAGCGACAGCCCTCACCCTTCATCTGTCCCCCAGGCAGCGTCCGGACCTACACCGTGGGAGCGGGGCCCGCCGGAGCCGGAGCGGCTTCCGGCCCAAGGAGAGACACACTTCAGTGAGCGCGAGGAGCAAACTTCGAGCTCTTCTCGGGCCTCGGAGAGGTGAGAGATTCCGACTGCTCCCCGCTCCTCCCCTCCAAGGCCGAGACCCAGCCACCCATCCCCTTGTCGCGCCGCAAGACTCTGGACGCGGGAGTGTGCGCAGGGAGACCCGGGGAGTGCGCCGCCTACCCTTTGCTCCCTTCCCGAAGCTTCTCTGCGGCGCCCGCATTCCGGGAGCGTGGACCCGGCCATCGCCCTGAATTTGCCTGTACTCCAACCTTTTTCTGTCTTGGTATCCATTTGTCTCCGGTTCTGTGACTCTCTGTCTTCCTCGCCCTCGATGAATCTTTGTCTCCGTTTTCTGTGGAAACCTTCCTTGCATTTGCTTGGATGTGTGTTCGTGGGTCTGGGAATCCCTCACTCAGTTTTCCCCTCTCCCCCACTCCTAGTCGCACTGAAGGTCTGTCTCCCAACTTTCTGGCGGGACTTGTAGGCTCTACAGACAAGCCGCAGGACCCCCACGGAGACCTCCCTCAGTGAACCCTGACCCTCAGCCCGGGCCAGTGTTGCCTTCATCTCAAGATCCTGTGCACACCAGGTTGGTTTTGTGCCCTTTTTCTCTCCAGCTGGGTCCCTTTCCATCCCATTAGGCCTCTTTCTTTTCTTGGCCTCCCTCCATGAACCCAGCAACGAGTAGCACCAGCTCAGACTGGGCCCATCTCAACCTCTAGGGAGGTGAAGGGGAAGATGGGCACTGGATGCGGTCAAGAACTGAGCCGATGGATGGGTTGCTGCCCCGACAGCGCCGCGCAGTGGTCAAAGCTCCGGCATGCGAGGCCTGAGACCCAGCTGCGCTCCACTGTCACTAGGCTGTATGATAGTCAACAGGTCACTTCCCCTTCCCAGCCTCAGTTTCCTGCTCTGCATAGTAGTAAAGATCTGGGACCCTGGAGTCAGGCTGCTGGAGTCCCAATTCTGGCTTCACTACTTACCAGCTCTGTCCCCTTGGATAAGTTTCTTAACCCTTTTCAAAATCCCTCTGTTTTTGACTCTGTAAAAATGAGATTAAAAACACCTTCGTTGTGACTAATATGCAAAAGTAAGTAACCAAATCACTCTGGGCTACTTTTGAAGAGGGTATTGGAGCACTTTGCAGACTCTTGGCAAGAGAGAAAGGGGTTGGGGATGGTGTAGTCTCCCACCTGATCTCAAGCCGTGGTCCAGCCCCCTATTGGTTTACCACTGCCATCTCCAGTCAGCATGCTAAATTAGGTCCCCTGTAAATAAACACTGAGAGCAGAGTGGGAGGGAATTTGCATCCCCTGCCAGCTGTATGTCAGCAATGGTCTGTGTGTGAGTGGATGAATTCTCCCTTCATCTAACAGCAGCCTCTAATCTATGGAATAATCTGATGTAAATCTAACTCTCCCATTCCACAGGTGGGGCAACAGAGGCCCAGAGGGGGGAAGGGACCTTCCTAGGCTCCTCCAAGACAGCAGGGCCAGATGCAGCGCTTGTCAGGGAATCCTTATGATAAAGTTCCCCATCCTCCTCAGCCAGAGGAGGGTGAAAGGCAGGTCTGGCTGCTCATATCCTGTGAGACCAAGTCCTCTGCCCCGCTTTCCCAGACCAAGAGACTCCAACTAGTGTGCTGGGCTTGCATAAACACTGTCCTTGAGAAAAAAAGAAGAGGTCCAGTCCTCAAGTCATGGACAAGAAATTGGGCAGGGACTAGTTGTCCTGGAATTGGAATTTCCTAGGTGATAGGGCTCTCCAGAAAAAAAAGGGGGGGGGAGGGGTGGCTTTGGAGAAAAGTTTCTTCTTAATGAGTCCAGATAAATTCATATACGTAGGGTTGCTAGGTTTCGCAGATTAATTTCATCTGGCAACTCTACACATACCCCAAGCTTGCTCGTTACTACATGAAGATCTGTCACTTCACAGACACCCCACAGTCTACCATATTACCAACTCCAGCCCAGCTCAGCTCTGCGAGTGTCTAGGTTAAGGGAGAGAACACCAGGACTGGCACAATCCTACTCCATCTCACCTTCTAAATGTCTTCATTTCTGAAATGTCAAATGTGAGTAAGTAGCTTCCTTCCTTGCCAGAGCCCTCCTGGTTCCCCAGGCTCCAGGCCCCCGCCCAGCTTCATGGTAAGACTTCCGTGATTGAAGCATTTGCTGCCCAGATATCCTGGTTCTAATGCTCCAGGCAGAACTCTACAGAGCAGTTGCAGCTGTCAGCCCTTGCCTCTGCCTGGCCCAGTTCCACATGTGTTGCTGCTGAGACCCAGGTTGGTGAAAGGGGACACAGACACCCAACCCATGTTCTGCAAGGTGGGAGTGGGGCATATCTCAAGGAATCATCCAGACCCTTCAAACACACACACTGCTACAGGAGTGGAAATCTAGACCCCAGAGATCATCTGACTTGCCAGGCTTTTGAAGGGTCCCGAGTTGGGTCGGACTCGGGTGTGGGGACCCCCCCAGCCCCAACCTGACCTGTTTTTCCAAATGACTGCTTAGCCCCTGAGTGTTTTGAACAATGCCAGGAATAAATTAACTGGGGGCCGATAGAAGGGAGACTCAGGATTCGTTTAGTTTCTGCCTTTCTCCCTGGCTCCAGCCTTTCTCATATCTGTGACCCTGTGTGAGTCTGTCACTCCCCTCCGTGAAAACCTGGGCGCTTTCCCAGAAGATTGGGTTCCAGCACCCATGCCTACAGCCTCCAAGAAGCAGGAGGCAACAGGCTCTGTGGGTCTTGGTTACAGCGTCGCTCACTGGTCGTGCCCAGCCTCTTCCTTAGTCTGCCTCGCAATTTGGCAGCCTCCCTTGAGCAGCCCAGAAACGATTGGGAGGAAGCGGTGGGGTGGGGAGAGATGCCTCTTCGAGGGTTTTCTACTCCAAAATGTTTGGATAACCGGGGAGAAGTTGTTGCGTGTTTATTGAGATGCGTTGCTATCAGTGTCGTCCCTCCTACGATGGCTCCTCCCTTCCCTTCTTGTGGTCCCAGTTGGCGTGCTGTTCTCCTCGGCTTGGGAGAAATGAGAGCTCTCAGATGATTATGAGAATATAATTAAGTCAGTCTCGAAACTGGTGAAGAGCGGCACTGAGCTAGCTAGAGGCGGTGGCTGAGCGGACGAGCACACGCGGCCTTCCCACGGCTGGAGTTCCGCTAGCGCGGAGGTCCGCCCCTCTGTGCGGCGCAGCTGCAAAGTGCGGCCTGAGGTGGGCAGGGGTACACCAGGCCTGCACACTTTTCTCATTTTTTTTTTCCACAAACCTGGCCAGCCTCGAAGAAAGCGACGAGACCCGCGCAGCCGCCCCCTCTTCCCGCCCCTCTACGGGGCTGCAGCTCTGGAGCCAGCTGGCTATTTGGCAGCAGCCACCACAACGCCGGACCCCAGATCTTCGCCTACTACAGAGCGATCGGCGCCCTCCGCCCGGCTGGGAGGTGAGAGACTCCAGATCGTGTGACCCGCAAGGCGAGCCTCAGGCAGTCGGACTCCCTGGAGCGGGACTCCGCATCAGGGTTCAGGGAGAGGCTGGGCCCTCTGCGAACACAGCACTGGTGGGACCTCCACCGTGTGCGCCTTCACCGCCAGTCCACCTGTCCACCCTCAGGGGTCGGGCACCTCTACGGCAACCCCCACACCTGCGTACCACCTCCACTTCTCTGAGGAGTGTCTCTTTCCTTCCATTACGACGCCTGGCCACGGTCCTGTCCCAGACACCTACCCTGGGACTACGTGGTGAGGGGCTCGCACCCAACGGCCCGAGCACTGCGTGGCGGTTGAGACCAGGGCGACTCTCCTTCGTGGGAAGAGGGTTGCCGGCTCAGGAGACGGTGAAAACAGCGCAGCTCCCAAAACGCCGGGTCTGAGGCAGGTTTCGCAGCCACCGCGGTAGAGCAGGCTGCACGCTCTTGGGAGACGCGCACAGGACAGGGGACTAGAGGACGTTTCCAGGTGCGTTGGAGAGGGAGCCTCAGGTCTAAGTGCCCCTGGTGTCTAAGTTTATCCTGGGTTTCCCCGTCTGAGGGCCTGTTTCATTGTCCACTTGTGTGTTGTGGGCCTGACCCTACGGGAGACCGTAGCTCTGAATGCCTGAGTACTTCCCTGAGCAACCGGCGCCTGTCCTGAGTCCTCCCCGCCCGAACGCACGATCTGTGTCGGGGACTGCCCTGAAGGACTCGCCTTTACCCCAGGGCCTGAAGAGATTCGACCTGGTCAGGGAACTGCAAACCCGCTTCCAGCCCGCAGTGACACCCCGGTAGGGAAGGAGGTGTGAGGGTGCGAACCTGGATAGGGGTCTGGGACGATGCTGGGACAATGGGGAGAGCGTATAGAGGCCATGCTGCAGGCAGCCTGGTGTACTGTAGCGGCGGCCTCTTTGTGACCAATTACATGCCGCCAGCTGAAGCAGCAAATCTAGGGAACCCGATGCCCTTCCGGAGCCTTGAATTGGAGCAGGGTAGGAGGGGGCAGATCCGTCCTAATACGGCCCGCTAGGCAACACACACGCAAACACACACACACGCCGTCGCATTTAGCCTTTCGGAGCCCCAGGCAGGGTAACCAAGGCTTGCCTGGACGGGGAAGCATTGCTGGTTGCCCGAGCCCTCGGGAGCAGACGCGGAGCCGCGTAAGCCCCACAGAAGCAAAACAAGGGACCGGCGAGAGTCCTTGCCTTGCCGCTCCGATGCTGGCGACGGATTCCTGGGGAACAGCGCCCTCTGGAGGAGCCGCGCATCCACGCAGAGTCAGGAACTGAACCACCAGTTCTGGGACCAGAGTTCCCCGTTCCCCACCCCACCCCTTTGGCAAAGTCATCCGGAGACTCGTAACCTCCGGACCTCTCTTTGCGCATGCTTGCTGTCTTTCCCAACCTGTATCCATGCTTTCAAAACCCTGTTCAAATCCCTCCTCCAGAAAGAAGCCTTCTCAAGAGCCCAACCCATATTCCCCTCGTCCCGCTCTGAGCATTTCAGAACCTAAAACCTGAACCCTCAACTCCAGTGCTCGCATCATGCACTGCAGAGCCGAACTTCCTGCCTCGCCCTTCCCCAATGAGACCATTAATCCATTCACTCCACTCACCCTTTGCATTCCATGCTGTGTGCGCTGTTTTTCTTCCCCCACCCCAAAAAAGTAAGACTGAAGTCGTTTATCTCAAAATGGGATAAAACTAGATTCTCAAAGTTTGTTTTCCATATGAGGAACTTGAGACCCAGAGAGGAGGCTGACTTGCCCAAGGTAATACAGAACATTGGTAGTAGAGGTGGAACTACATCCCTAGTCGCCCGTTTCCCAAACCAGACCTCTCTCCATGTCACCTGGATGGGGAACCAGTAATGTGGGAGATGGCTCATTTTAAGGGGTGAGGACTGGTTAGGGGAGTTTTGACATAGGAGAGGGGAAATGCAGGAGGGAACTTGGGGGAGGGCGGGGTCACGGCTCCAAGATGGAGGCAGTAACTGGAAGGAAGGGAGGACAAAGTTTCACCAGGAGGTCAGACTCTTCCTTTTCCCAACCCCAGGCCAAAGCAAGCTGCTTTGAAGGGCACCATATTTCAGGGGTTGGCTGAATGTCTTAACATCAACAGGCAGGTCAACCGGAGGCTGGGAACAGTATCAATTTAGGGAAATGCCACCCTCCTCTCTGTCACTGGAAGGGAGGGAGGGGCTGAGAAACCTCTGCTGCTAAGACACACTGAAAGATGCTGTGATGCTAGATCAGCCTGAGGCGGCCATCTGGTGCTTGCAGTTATAAAGTTGAGACACTGAGAGGGTTATTTGTGTGTAATTTGCATGAGGCCTCAGTGATTCCTGCCCTGCAGTTTGAAGCCTTCTCAGAGATGCTACTAGTGCTTGTCTGCACAGGCTACCAGGCAGCCTGGCCCCTGTCTGCATGTCCAGCCTCACCTGTAACCCCTATACTCCACTCACACCTGATTTCTCCCTTCTCACTTCTTCACTTTTGCACTAGGCTCACTCCTGCCTGACCTACTCCTACTAATTCTCCGTCCATTTCAAATGCCAAGCTTTATGAGCTGTTTCCCCCAACAACACTGCACACTGGCCAGGCTGTGAGAGCCTCCTCCCTCTGCTTCCAAAGACTTAACTCCCTCTGTTGTCATGAGTCTGTCATCCTCTGTCGACTGTGAGCTCCTTCAGAGGTCTTCATCCTCATCTTTCCTCCTCTACAAAATGGGGAAAAGAATTGTATCTATGTTATTGAATGGTTGGGAGGATTAAATGAGATAATGCTTATAAAGTATTTAACTCAGTACCTGAAACTTTGAAAGAGCTCAATAAATGTTTCTCATCATCATCATCGTTATTAATTATTCTACCTTCTGCCAGGCACAAAACCTAACACATAGTAGGTACTCAATAAATGTTAGATATGTGGTCATATGAACGAATGAATGAATGAATGAATGGTGTTACATATATCTTCCTCTTGTCTAAGACGCCCCAGAAAGCTAGCTTACATCATCACTAGAAATGTGTTCTCTAAGGACATTGTTTCTCCCCTATGGGTCCTCCTCCCTGAAGGGAGAAAAACATGTCCCCCTATCAAAGAGAGTTTTTCTATGGTCTCTGACCCCAGCAGCCATTGGATTTCTCTCTTGTGCTCTCTGCCTCAGTTTCCTTCTTTTAAAATGGTAGTGACAAATTTCCAGTTGTGAAATAATTCTTGAGGATGTAATGTACAGCATAGGGAATAGAGTTGATAACATTGGTAATAACTTTGTATGGTAACATATAGTTACTGGACTTATTGTGGTGATCACTTTGTAAGGTATATGAATGTTGAATCTCTATACTGTATACCGGAAACTAATATAATACTGTATTTCAATTACAACTAAAAATAAAATGTTTTAAGATAAAGTGGTTGTGACCAATTGTATCAGCCAAACCCTGCCAAAATCTTCCAGGGGCTCCCCACTGATTATAAGGTAAAACTCAATCTCCTGGGCCGGCCCGGTGGCACGTTGGTTAAGAGTTGGCTTGAAAGCGCAAGCTCTGAGCAGCAGGGCCCCAGTCCAGATCCCACATTAGGGCCAGTGATGCTGCGCCCTCTACAGTTAAGATGGTGAACAACAGCTCGACCTGGAGCTGGGCTGCCATGAGTCGCGGGTTATGGCGTAGGCTGCAGTGGGGCTGCAGTGGGCTGCCATAAGCTACCGTGACTGGCCGGCAGCCAGCGTGAGCTGCCGTGAGCCACTGTGAGTGGCCGTCCAGTGGCCAGCAAGCAACTGCCTCACCCGAGAAGAGTGCAATGATAATACTAACATGGGCCAGTGAAGCGACGTCCTCCACAACTAGACTGAAGAACAAAGG